TATGTTTGTAATTTTTTACAATTAGTGAATTTTTTTCATTGGTTGACATAAATCAATTAGGCTGAATCACATTAAATTGTTATATTTTGTGTAGTTAATTGATCATTTGATTTTGTTTTCACTGATTTAATTATTTAATTGAATTGAGGCTTTTTAGCCTAATATTTTCATACGCACGACATGATATCTCAATTTATGTCAATGAGATTGTGATTATTAATCATAGTAAACTCAAATTTTTGGTATAAAAGTGTTTTTTGGCCAGCTAGTATAAAAAGTTGATTATGATTTATTTTGTGAATAATTTAAGAAAGGAAACAATAATGGTATTTAACTTTTGAAGGGTAAAATAAAAAAAAAACTTATTTAAGAAAAAAGAAGTTAATTATTTTTTATATTTGATCTAAATAATGGTAATAAATTATATCAAATTAATTAGGTCTTACATAGCTAATTTAAAGTTTTCTAAAGAAATATGATGGGAATAATCTTTAAATATTTAAATTATTAATATTAAATTGTCATTTATGTATTCACTTGAGTTAATGACTTGAAATTATTGCCAAATTTAAAATCAAAATCAATGCAAAAAACATATATATAAAAGGCAATTTAAGAAACCACTTAAATATTTTGTTAATCGGTCAAAATGTCAATCAAAATTGTTTTCCAGTGGAGAAGCATTAGGAAATTAGCTTTTAGATTTAAAAGGCAAACAATATATAAGGCAATTTAAATTAAATAAATTAATAATTGGTTACAATATTAATCAAAGTTGTTTATAAAAGCAAACAATCAAAGTTATATAGACATCTTATTTTATTCGAGGTTATTTAAATTGTTCTTGAGTTAGTTTGAATTGAGCTTTAAGCTTAGCCCATTTGGTTTTAAATTTATTATTTGAGTTTTAGGTTTGCTTTGGACTTTAAATCCAAAATAAGCTCATTTACTCTTTTGTAATTGTTTGCTTTGCTTTTATTTTAGGAGATAGACCATTGTGTTTAAATTAGAATTAGAATTAGAAGATAAGCTTGTCAAGATTAAAATTGAAATCAAAGAAGATAAGGGATGAAAATTCAACCAAATGGCATTTTGATCTTGAATTATATGGAGACTTAGTGCTTATTTAAGCAACAACAATTACACAGAAAATACAGCTCTTAATCACCATTTTCACCCTATGATAACTCAACCATACTCAGTATAAAAAACCTTCTATCATCACTAGCCCTCTTTTACTTAACTTTCACAAAATACATCACCAATCCAAATGACAATCCCGTAAACAATTCTAGCTACTTAATACCTAAACCTCCAGAAGCTCACACCTAAATACAAAGTAGAAACACAACTTATGCACAAACATAATCACAAAAGCCTATCATTACTACACCCATCCCCAACAAACCACGCTTACCACAAGTTTAGCCAATAGACACAACTTGAAGCCATGGATCCTGCATACAGAAGACAAATCTAGTCCTCAAGAGCAAACTCAAACATAAAAAACCTTTAAACCAAGAAATTCAAAACCCAACATAATCAACAAAAATCCAATACAAAAATATCTCATATTTTCCAAAATACACATTCCATTCACAGAGTAGACACAATTAGATAACAAGACAACCACAATGCCCAGAAGCAAAATTAGCAACGACACAAAAATAAAGAACAAAAATTTACAAAGATAACCTAGTTGGCAGTGTTCATTTTACTTTGAGGCTTTTATGTTATTTTGGTGTTTGGTTTAAGGAAAGGAAGAAGAAGATTTAGGGTTGAATTTTGGATCTTGGAGTTATAGTAAAGTTTGATAAAAAAGGCAAAAAGCAAAATAAGGGTAAAAGAGCCACTACTGGTGGCAGTAATGTAAGCGATTCACGGTGCCTATTAGGCTTTGGAAAATATGGAATGGTGGAAACATGGTGTGAGGGAAGATGAATAATATATCCAAAGGTCACTTTGATCGAAAGATGAAAAAGATTGAAAGGGTGGTGAAAATTACCCTGGCTTTAACTGCAAATCTAGGCTGTTTTGGATGTTTCCAAACAAAACTAATTTTATAAATGGAAAGAGGAGATTGAAAGGATTGATTTTGGAAAATTTCATAGTTTTCTAGTAGTCGGTGGATAGTTAAAGCTTCGGTGTCAGAATCTAAAAACTTACTGGTGTTCTTGATTTTTTCTATTTTTTGGAAAACCTTTTTAAATAGAGAATGAGAGAATCAAAAGAAGAGACACAAAAATGAAAAAAATGAAAGAATGATTTTTTTGGGCCTTTATAGTATTGGTAAAATGACATCGTTTTTGGGCAAGAAAAATCTGGTTTTTTTTTTAACCCGTTTCAAGAATTTGCATGTCTGCTCATGGAAAATCTGATCCGCGTGTGACCCATTTCCCTTGTTGAGCCACTAAGCTAAACCAACTAGTCGAGTCACTAAACATCTAAACCGTCTCTATGCCTGCAGCCACACCTTTCAAGGCATCAAGTTGAACCACAATTGTTTTAAATATTTTTTTTCTTGTTATTTTGCTTTTATTTATTTATTTATTTATTTTTTGAGTGCATTTTTTAGAGAAAATAAATAAAAATATTTCTAAAAATGATGAAAATTTTAGAATATCAATTTTTTTAAAGTAAAAAATATTTTACAGAAAAGTTGAAATATCAAATTTTTTTAAATAAGAAAATATTTCAAAAAAATGTTTTGAGGAAAAGTTAAAGTATCAATTTTTCACAAATAAAAATTTTATTTCAAAAAAAATGTTTTAAGGAAAAGTTGAATATCAATTTTCCTTAAATAAAAAAAAATTTCAAAAAATGTTTTGAAAAAAAATTGAAGGATCTTCATATAAAAATTATTTCAAAAAAAATTTTAAGAAAATATTGAAATATCAATTTTCTTTAAATAAAAAAATACCTCAAAAAATGTTTTGAGGAAAAGAAGAAGTATTAATTTTTCTTAAATAAAAAATATTTCAAAAAAAATATTTTGAGGAAAAGTTGAAATATTAATTTTTCTTAAATAAAGCATTAATTTTTCCTAAAATAAAATAAAATTTTTTAGGAAAACCTTTTTTTCCTTGGAATTTAAATTTTTCTAAAATTTCATTAAATAAATGTTAATTAATCTGACGATAAAGTCTATGTAAGATAAACAATAATTTTCTTATATACTCTTGATAAGAGAGAATTTTCTTAATTTTTTGTCAAAAGTATTGGAGTAAGTTAAAAATAATTCTCAATAATTAACTATCTGGTAAGATTTTTTTTTAAGGTTCAATAGATTATACGAAATCAAAACTGATACTATTTTTTAATGGGTATTATAAGGATGTTATAATCTTTCTCACACATAATCGTACTCTTGAACCTAGTTTTGATTTTCGTAGACATTGAATCTACCCTTATAAAGATACTTGAGTCAAGTTTAGGAATTCTTTTTAAAACGATACAGATTCAGTTAAGTGAATAATCACACCTATATAAAAAAAAATTGATGGTAACTCCTTAAACTATGTATAGTAATAGGTTCACGAATCTATATATTATGAGAAGTTGTCCATATTTTGAACCTAAGTTTAAACTTTATTCAAACTTTAATAATATAATCACGTGTTTTATAGCATGTACCATATAGGTGCATTGGTTAAAATAGTTTGTAGAAACATTAAAATTAAAATGATATGAAAAAGAATAAAATAAAATCAATTTAACATATATAGAGAAATTATTAAATATGTTGACAATTAAATTTTTTAATTTCACAAGTGAAATTAAGATTATGAAATATGTATCTTAGTGTATATTAAAAAAAAAAACTAATTTAACTGATTATTTTTTTAAATCAATTAACATATCATTGAAGTTGGTATGAGAAGATTGTAGGTTTGAGAGAGTTTAGACATGCAATATACTCTTTAACTAGATATATAATAAGGGTAAGAGGGATTTAAAAGTAAATTAGGCACTTAAAAAAAACTAATTTTAAAAAGAAATGAGATATATCTCTTCATTTTAACTTCACTTGTAAAATTAAAAAAACTCATTATTAGAGTATGAAATAATTTTTTACATATATATTGTTTTTGACGTAGATATCAAACTTTCATTAATAAAATCAAACTTTCATCAATGACTAAGTGTTGCATACAATCCGAGCTGTTTTCTATCAATACCAATCTTTAACCATTTGTTCCACATTATATTTTCTTAAAGGTTTTCTTTTAGCTTCCCCCATCAAGCGTCCAACCAAAGAGATCAATATTGAAAATCAATTCTCGAGTTGTCTTTCGATTTGTGGCCTAATGGAAACAAAAATTTTTAGGAAGACATAACGGTTTGGTTTCGAATCAAACCTCCTCCCTCTCTTCTTGTAATAAAATTTTGGCTTCTCTTAAAACCAAAAGAAATATTGAAAATCAATTCTTGAGCCATCTATTTCTAATAGTTTATCCATCTCCCGTATTTATATTGTGTTCAATAGACATAGCAATAAATACCAAAAATAAGGGCAATTATTATCTTTTGAAATAATTGCATGAAAAGAAAACATTGAGTTAAATGTAATATACCAATTAAAATACGAATTAAACTTTAAACAAATTTAAATATGGAATGATATTTAATATTTTGAAACATGTTTAATTCATATCATGGAAAGTCTCACATAAGAAAAAAAAATTGGAGTTTAATCTAAAATTCATATTAATTTTATCTGCAAGATATGAAAATAAAAGCAATTTTTTATTTTTTTCATTTATGTAAAAGATGATTTAATTAAAAATATAAAAATTATATAATACATTTTAAAAGTATAAATCAAATCACATTAGATTTTTTTGTTTAAAAACTTTGAAATTTATGTATTTATATAAAATATAAGATATGACAAATTCAATAATAATATAATACATTATATAATAAAACTACAACATAATAGTAAGAAAATTCTCCCACCATGCTATATGTGCTGTGAAATGAAATGAAGCGTAAGTATTAGAAGCAACATGTGGAAGTAGTTTTTAAATTTCGAACGGCCCAAGTGCCATTTCTGTTTGAACAAAAAATTGGAAATTTTCAAAATTTTCCCATCAAGATTTCCGCCTAATAACAACGGCCCCCACGGCCATCCAAAGACTTTCTTTTTTTGGGTTTTAGGTCTCTCTCTCCCTTTCAAACAAAGCAAAAGCATGGCTTCAAGAATAACCCTCGGATAAGTGATAAACCAAAAACCGGAGTTTTAAGACTCAAGACATCAATCGGATTACGCACCATCCAAACCCAAGATAGCAATGCTGAAACCATCTCCTCGAAACCCCAATTACCTAGTCCCACCGCTCTTACCGCCACCACCGTCATCGCCGCCTCCGCCTTCACCGCCGCCGCCTCCGTCTCTCACCAAGCCCAACCAGTTTCTGTCTTTGCTTTCCAAAAGACCTTCTCTCAGAGTTACTTCAGAGTTTGACAGTGATAGCCGCGTATTCTTTCACAAGGTGTCTTGTAAGCTGTTTGACAACCTTGCCAAGCTCAAACTATCCTTCATCAACAACAGCAAACGCGAGATCTCGGAGCCCCAGTTGTCGTTAACTTCAAATTACTTGTCCATCCACTATGATCCTGAAGAACAAAATGCCCTTATCAAGACCTCCTTCGATGTGGGTCCTATGTTGCATTTCAAAACTACCCATGATGTCAAGGTTTGCCTTTTTCCTTTAAACACGTTTTTTCTGCTTAGTTCTAGTGTTTTAGTCGCTAATGTTAATGGAAATTGTATAAAATTGAAAACTTGGGACTATTATGTCACATTACTTATTTACCCTTTTATTGCTGTGCATGGGAGATTGATTTGTGTGATTTCAGTTATTAGGATGCCGGTTTTCAAAGAAAGTTGAAAATTTCTCTTCTTATGCTACAAAAGAGAAATTTGAGAATCAAGTTTTGTTTTTGGTGATGGTTGTTGTGTTGAGCATTTGAGGTTCAGTTCATGAAATTGATGATGGGGTTTTACGGGATTTTTACTTTCATATATAAGTCAAGTTGGTCTTGTTACTAGAGTCTTGAAGACCTTTTTGAACATACTTTTGCATTGGGATTTTTATCTTAAAACCCTCTTTTTTTTCTTATTCTTCTTAGAATGACATACTTTTGGGAATCGGAAGTTTATCATTGCTTGTGAAGCCAACAACATCACAATTGTTTTGAGTGATGAATGAATTTTTACTTAGAGTCACATACGCTAATGCTATCCCTATAATATCCCATATATTTTTCTCAGGCACAACAAGGTGAGGTGGCAATGATGGCAAACCTTTCCGATCCCAGCTATGCTGTAGAAGTGTCATCACCTGTTCCATATGTTGGTCTGGTGAGTACTATATATCCCACTATCCTACTTGTCAAAATCAATCACTTAATTTTTTGTTGCTATTTATCTATATTAGTTCATCTGGGTATTTATTGGAGCATTAAGTAGTTGGTAATTTACTTTCAGCCAGTTTTGTGGTTCTGACTTGTAGAATGTATGTGGTGTCATATTGTTGTTATTGTCTGTATGCATTAGTTAACCAATGCTATGCCCCCTTTTGCATCACTTCAACACTCGATTAATGGAAGTAGTCTTGCATTTTTATGCTTATGCATTATCATCCCTCCACATGCTTGTTTTTCACTAATATATTTAAACATGGTCATAGCTGTTTTTTCCTCTAATTACGTCTGTTACTTTCCCGTTGCTGCAGCCTAAAGCAACAATTAGATTTCCGATGGGTGAAGTTACATTAGAGGAGAGACAAGAGGAGGAAGTGCCAAGAACATTGTCAATAAATGGAATTCTTAAAGGTCAAATTTTGAATGGGGTTTGTGCTGCTCAGTACACGGATGAAGAACTGAAACTAAGATACTTGTATAAGGTTGTTTTTTCCTTGGTGCTATAACTTTGTGCTTGTGTTTGTGTTTATTTACTTGTTGAGTTATTACTACTCTGACTTCCATGGGAGATTCACTAGTATATTTCTTGTTGAATAACTTGGATAGGTGTTCAAAGTTTTGACCGATCACCTTCTTAATAAGAAAATGCTGGGTTGGAAACATTATGGATGTGTAAATATTTCAGCTTTTTGGGTGCCTTCCTTTTGTAGATGGTTTTGATGGTTTTCAAATTGCAGGATGGGGCAATGTCATTTATTCCTAGCATTTTGCTACCATCAAATGCTGTATCATTTGCATTCAAGCGACGTTTCAGTCCATCTGATAAATTGAGGTTAGAACTCCCTATTTTTGTCAATATTGGAATCTGTAATGGAATTGCTTGTGCTTATTGGCTATGGATACCGTTTCTTTTGTTTTGCATGAGATATATGTGGGAACATATATAGTGAGTTCTTTTTCCTGAAATGTCTATTTTTATTGAATTTTTTTTTATGAGCAGTTTTTGTATTTATTTGCAGCTACTGGTACAATCTTGATTCAAATTATTGGAGTGCTGTGTACAAGCACACATATGAAAAAGACTTGAAATTCAAAGCTGGGTATGATTCAGAGGTTCGACTTGGCTGGGCTTCTCTATGGGTAAGTTCTTCTATTTGCTTAACTCTAGCTTTTCATTTGCTGAACTCGAGATTCCCATGAGGAAGCGCTTGGTTTTTGCAAGACTTGATAACTCTTAAGATCCTCATATTTCAGGTTGGAGATGAAAATGGCAAGGCAAAGACAGCCCCAATGAAGATGAAAGTCCAGTTTATGCTCCAGGTACCACAGGATGACATTAAATCATCGGTGTTAATGTTCCGTGTTAAAAAGAGGTGGGATATATTGTAGCCCCATGCTGAGGGACAGCCTTTTCGAGCTCCTCATGCATTCTCTCTATATAATGGCGTAGTTTTAGGACACTTCCTGATGATGCTAATTAAAGTTACTCTTAAAATAATTTCTTCTCAATATGAATTGATCGATGTCCCTCAGGGGGCATAATGAAGCATTGAAGTGAGATAATGATGTCGAGTGGAATTTCATATTTTCATATTTACTAGAAATGGTACGTTCCTCGTTCAATTCATCTGCAGCTTAAGCATACCTCATTTTGTGAGCTAAATGGGAGCAAAGCTGGTTTCCAACTCTGCTTGTAACTCCCTGAGTTGTGAAATTGTATCTACATTTCTTTTATACTTGACAAATGAGTAACTAAAAAAACTAATTCAGCAACTGCGACAACATGGCCATTTAGTTAGTTCCTAATTAATTGCTATTCTTTTGCGCCCATCAACTAGCAGTTTAAGCATATAACATGCAAAAGTTGGTCTAATTGGTTTTAACAAATCATGCATAAAGTGCAATTCACTAACATAAGTCTGTAAATGGCAATGATAAAAACTGTCGCGTGAGGCTCAGTTATGGTCCAAGTCAATTGCCTTGCCTTGCCTGATGGGAAGCTGCTCATCAAAGCGACTTAAAAATTATAGTACTGTGCTGTTGAAAACTAATGTAGACGCACAACAAAATTGATGGAAAAGGTTCCACAAACTAGTTGGAATTATATAGCATTATGGGGGGTGAAATTTGGATAAAAATTGTCTTCAAACCGTAAACATTTCTTCATGAACCGCCAAACCAGTTAGGCCAAAGACAAATCAGGAAACTGGAAATTTTGATTATATTAGCAATGGTATGAAATTTGAGTATTCCAAAATTGCCATTTGATAATAACTGTAATGGTTTGCTCAAAAGGTACATTGTGTATGAGTTCAAGAGAAGTAACGGGTTATGCTACTTATGCATTAAACCTTGCAAATGTTTACCTGATAATTCATGATTTAAGGGCTGAAATGTTAACCAAACCTGCAACGTAGCTTCAGCATCCTTCCACACGTGTAGCTTCAAGAATCCGCAAATCTATACATAAACTCCCTGCAAAAGGATACAAATTGCCTCAGAAAAAGCTCATGCTGCACAACAATGCAACAACAATGTAAATGTCCCACTTATTCTTGAAGGCAGTAAAATACAGATAAAATATCCAAGGAAAAATTCTAAAATGTAATGCTAGCTCCATAACTTCTTTTCAGAGAAGTTATGAGAATTCACAAGTTTTAATAACCTCAGAAAATGATGCATTTGAGATCACAATTCAGAAACACAGTCTGTAATTAGTTTGAGTTGATTTATAAAACATTTTAATTAAGGATAAAGATGTAGGGAAGGCAATTAGAATAAAAAGATGGCTCTATGAAATTATAGCAACTGCATCAGAGCATCCTGCAATAGACTCGAAAGTTATGAATTCATTGATAAGATGCAAACTGCAAATTAGTAGGAGATTAGGAAAAAAATTAGAAATATTGCAGTTAAACCAGCAAATGCATGCACATGATGTTCAGACAACAACATCTATATCCTCTACCCAATGAATCACAAAACATTCCATTACAAATCTTGCATAATTTGAAATGATAAGCTAGTTTAATCATATTTATGATGATATTGTACTGTGATTGAAGCCTGGAGAATGACTAAATGGTAGCAAAACATAAGGATGGAAAACTAACTGTAAACTTCTGGGTTATGAATGTGAGCTGTCATCATCATCGTCATCATCAGAGTAGTTATTATCACTAAATTGCTCATATATTTGATATTCCCCATCACTAGTGTCTGCAGCTTGTGTTGCATCAGCACCATGTACAGTACATGGAAATCTACCAAAAAGCTCCTGCAAATATGTCCTTGAGTTGTTTTCGATATCTAAATCTACACAATATATAGTAAATCTCAAACAGACAAGGAACATCCGGATGGAGACAATCTAAATACTACATAGATATATAGGTTCATAACAACATGTGTCTGTGTGAATGTACTTGCAAACTTGTCTGTGTTTGTAATCTATGCATGTATAATAACTTGATAAGCTAAGATACTTTGAGGTTGAAAATGAAGGCTTATAATATTTTTAAAAGTAACGAATGCTTTATTAGAAATGAGGAGTCAACTCCTACAATTAAATACTTTGATTATACTAACAAGTTTGAATATTTTAAATCCATTCCTAGCACTTTTAGAAGAGGTCTAAGCCAATCTGTGTAGTCACTGAAGTTTGTCTTAAAAGATTTCCAATCATTTTTCATTCTTAGAGCAACCACAAGAATCAATTTTTACATAAAGGGCTACTTGACATTACAAACTTATATCAATGCTGGCTCACTCTTGTGTACAAAGGCAATAGCCTAATGGTAGCCTACTATTGCAAAAAGAAGCACAGATTTCAAGTCAAAAGTTTCTTTCTTTGGGGCTTGTTACAATTTTGGTAAACTAGACTGGTTTTATGCTGCCTGGCCACCTGCATTAACTTGCACAAAATGAAACGGTGATTGCAAATCTTTAAACCTACAGTCAAGGCCAACCTAAATCAACTTAATAGATAGAAAATGCCCTTTGAAGCTTTTTCTAGACATGCTCAAAATCCTGGCTGAAGGCCAAAACCCCACTCTATTTGAAAGACACAGGCTTTGAACAAAAGCAATTGCAGAGAGATTTCATCATCCTCACCACCCTAGAGACAGGAAAAGCAATCCATCAACAAAGTTCCTTTTTGGTTTTTACTTCTGAGAAAAAAGCATGAAATAAGACAAATATACAGTAATATCATGATCTGCTGAGTTTTAACAAGAATGTTAAAAGTAAAAATAAACATATGCCTTGTACCAGATTAAGTATCTCATACACATCAAATTCCTCTTCATCATCATCTTCAGTTTCATCTTCCTTGTTATAAGAACTTTTGGGTCGGTCTTTATCTTCATCACCTATATAAGCTCCAGATGTTAAGCTCTTGTTTTGAAAATTATATGATTAGTCTAAAGCAGCTAGTAAAACTAGTCAGAAATATCAGGTATCAAAATCTAGTTTTGGTTGAAAGGTCATAAGAATCCAGCAAGAAAATGGAAAATTAAATGTACAAGTACTATTGTCCAGGGAGAAATTCATTTATGACATGGAAAACCAAAATTTGCAGCAAGAAAAGGAGGTACATGGCGAATAAATAGATTCGAGAAAAAAGAAGCGTGAGACATCAATATAGAGTTACATGAATACATGAAAATCACATCCAAAAACAATAATTTCAAAATTGTTTTCCTAGATTAAGTATGTTAGATTATCTACGGTATGAAAAGTAGGCAGTTAAATGAACCCCAAATGAATAAGGATTTTGCTAAGCTTACTTTATTAAGTAAATATCTTTTCCCAATGCAAGGAAATGATCATATTGACTTGACTATTAACAATTGCATTTAATACAAAAATATTACTATAAATAGTATCTTAACTAATCTTAAAGAAAACCCTTACAGCACTCGTTACCAAAACCAAATTAATAAGTAAGAAGAGACTAATAAAAGATGAGACGTCGAAAAACTTTGAAAAAAAGGCTGCTTATTTTAACCTCTATTAGTTTGCTAGTGCCCCTCTTGATGAGAGTTGGAGACATCCTTGTAATTGCCTGACCTCTTTAACTTCTCAATTCATTAGAGTGAGATTTTAGTATGCTTTCTGCACCAGTTTCGGGTTATACTGACAAGAACCTCACTACTAAACGAAGTCTCAGGCAATCAAGCACACACTCTGAGAACCATCCTATTTTAGACTGCAAATATCTAGCGTCAAATAAGCCTTAACATGTTTTATCTAAAATTGCAAAATTAAGCATTTATTGACTTATATGCAATAAATGTGTGAGGATATCACCCAAAAAAAAAAAAAAGACTAAGACTCTTATACCCCCATCCTGTAGGCATCTGTCCCTGGAAAAATATCCATGGGATGACATCAGAGATAAATTAACTATCACATGTTTGCATAACACTGAAAAGATAATAGACTCACATTGCATGTTGCTAGCTTTGGAGGCTTTCTTATCTCTTGTTGAATGTAATCATCATCAAGTTCAAATAGTTGTAAAAGCGTCTGGCATTTGTAAGGAAATACTCTGAATGAACATCGTAAATCTCCCCACTTATGCTTCAATCTATGAAATAAAAAATTATTAAAAAAAAAAAAAACTACCAACAAACTATTAATCTCAGCACAAGTATTTCGGATATAATGGAATGTGATGTGTTTCATGTCAGTTATTTAATTCAATGAGCACACACCTTCATTTTATTACAGTATATCATGCCATAAATTGTGGCCATAAAATTCCCTTATATTTCTTACCTAGCAGGATTCCATAAATACGACTGTCAGATACTCAGATCTCATTATATCTTCATACATCAGAAACAATTTACTTGTTAGCTGTGTTAGCATCTATATAACTCCTCAATGGTTCAGGTACACGAAATTCAGTTCTCTGATATCTGCGAAAAGAAATCGCATAAGTAAGCATTCTTCAAATGACTTAATGCAAGCAATTAAAGCATAACATATATCTGAAGGAGATTAATGCCGGAACAATTCTTACATGCGAGAATCAGGATCTTTGCAAGGATCATATCCTTTTTTGATCCAGAACCTCAGAAATGGCCCATTTGAGAAGTAGTAAGCAACCCCAAGTAAAAGCCTGAAAATACAGAGAAAGATAAGATTCACTAAAGTAAATCCAACTGCTCCAATAAAGAATTTGTTAATAAACATGAAGGTAAGTTTCCAGGCAAGACCTTTTAAGCGCCAAATGGCTAAATTTTAAACCTTTGTCAAGCAAACACTCAGTCACAGGTTCCTTGGGCCCTATAGGTCGTTCATCAAAGAGCTTAGATACAGTCATCTGCCACTCCCACTGCTCTAAGCCTCGGATTATAAGTTCCTCCCAATTTACTTTCTTAGGAATCTGTGAGAATGCTAAGTCCAACAGAAAGATGGAGAATAAATTTTTACAGCATTCATGTTAGAATTATTCTTTATTATTATTATTATTATTCAAGCATATAATACTAGGAAATTAATCACATTAGTGCTATAAAATTGTCCAAAATCCCATCAATTTTCAATAATAGCCCACACTTTCTATTTAATCCGTTTCCGTCCATATTTGCAAAAATATTATCCATGAAACCGCTACAAAAGGACATTAATAGAGAAAAAAGAAAGTTCTCTTACTGAATCGACACAAAAGATTTTATTCATTGGAATACAAAACATTAAATCCGGCAGAAAAGGAAAATGCAGTCGGCAGGATATCTTTAATGTTGAAATCAATTGCAAGGCCTGGCTCTAGGTCGGTCAACCTGCATGAAAGGAAATCAAATTGCCAATTCAAACATCTTGAATCCCCTGTAAGATAAGATGGGCTGAAAAGTGACGAAGATATTAACTGTTGCCTACTATGCTTTCATGTTTCTTTAACGATATAATTAATGATAAGCTTGACAGGTAGCACTATTAAAAATAAAGACAAAAGA